CTGTAATATATAGGCAGCTTTTAAATCAGGTATCATTTTACGAAGCTTTATTGGTCTGGTTACGATTTTAAGCCATATCTGTCTGCAATAGGAACAATCTCCCTGAATGCCTCTCAAGATCTGAAAGGTTTCCAATCTTGGTGAAATCAACCAGCAAGACAAATTCCATTCTTGTTGAGGATGAACACACGCAAATTTCAAAGAAAACCATTCTCGAAAGCTTGGAGGCCAAAAAGGACTTTAAACTACACTGCTATTTCGAAATTGCGTCCATTACTTCGCTTTAACTACAAAACAGCCGGCCTCAATCTGTAGCACTGTCCTTCGATTGATATCACACAATGGTTTATTTTCCAAAATTGGCACAAAGAGGGAAAAGGTTCCTTATAAGCAAAACAACGGTAACAAAAACTCGGAGAGTTGTGTTACACAGGACCGGTCGTAATGGGGATTATATGGGTAGAGCATATCAGCGGAAAGGAAAATAAATTTTAAAAATAGATCGTATATAAGTCGCAATAAAAGGCATACTTTTTAAATAACCCTACGAATGGCAATGAAAAAACGCGCGATAAGTAAAAATTAACAAAAGCAAGAAAAATAAATCAAAGGCAATTAAATAAACAGCCGCGATAGCAATAGCAGTATATCAGGAGCTAATGGGAAGAGCAACAAATACGAAAGAACAACTGACAAATAACAGCCGAAAATTGACCACAATTAGTTGACCGACAATCGTATAACAAATTTTTTTATCGACTATTCGAGATAAACATAAAACCATGACAGGTAAGCTAACCGCGTTTGGACCGATATTGTAGTACGTTAAGCCAAAAATAAACCACTTGTTGCTAAAAGTTTCCGTGTCTGAGGTGCAGTGAAGTGTATAGCAATAGGAAGCCAAAGCGGCTAACCGAAATTGGACAGACAGTTTAGTTTAAAAATCTGAAAAGTAACCACATGTCACTAGGGACTTTCATCTAGTAAATGCAATTGAATGTTAAGTGCTGAATAAGTATGCAAGGAAAGGCGTAGAAACATTACGTATGAAAAGCACTGCAATAATTTTTATATAAAATAGCGA